GCCTTCTCTTTCTCTCCCTCCCTCTCTGCCTCCCTCCCTCCCTCTCCTCCTCTCCTTGTGAAAAAAGAAATAGCTTGGCAAAAAAGAAAAAATGTTTTCCCTCCTCCTGGCTGCTCTGTTGCCCCCCTCCCCTGCCCTGGATTTTAAACTGAATGCTAGGCTCAGCTCTGCAAGGGAGAGCCCAGACGGAGGGAAATAGCTCGGGAAAAGAATAGATACCTTGGCTGGGCCGTGGGGGAGGTAGCTAGAATAGAAGCAGAGGAAGACTCACCGGGCAGAGATCTGCTGGGCTGTGTGGTTGAGATAAACGAGGGAACCAGGGAGCAGCAGCAGCAGCAGCAGCACCTGTGCCCCATAGGCAGGGGGCTACCTCCAGCACTCCTCTGCCACTCCCCCTTGCCTCTTAGCACCCCCTGCCACTCCCCCTTGCCTCTTAGCCCCCCCAAGTCATCCCACCACCCCGCAGGGGCAGTACCGCCCACTTTGGGAACCACCGTCCTAGAACATGTAAAGCTGGTGCGGCAAGTCCTGAAGAAACTTCTGGCTGCCAAGCTCTATGCGAAGCTGTCAAAGTGTGAACTCCATAAAACCTCTCTGGATTATCTCAGATATCGTATATCCAGTGAAGGGATAGAGGTGGACTCAGGGAAAATGTCTTGGACTGGCAACCCCTGTGGACTCGCAAACAGTTCCATAGTTTCCTTGGCTTCACTAACCTCTAGAGGCAACTCATCCCAATGTTTGCAGAAGTCGCTCTGCCCCTGACTGAACTGTTAAAAACAGGACTGGCGCCAAAAAGCGAAAGCCAAGCCAATTGTGTGGGCAATGGACTGCCGAAAAGCCTTTGAGAAATTAAAACGGCTCTTTGCCCAAGAGCCCACTTTGCAAACACCCCGACCCAGAGCAGAAATCCATAATGCAGGCAGACACCAGTGATGTAGCTGTAGCGGCACCTTCTGTTGCAGGGAGACCCAAAAGGACAACTCTTGCCTTGTGCTTATGTCTCCAGAAAACCCACCGACACTGAAAGGAGATGGGCCCCTTGGGAGAAAGAAGCTTATGCAGCCACTGGGCGCTGCTCTCATGGAGACATTTCCTAGAAGAGGGGAAGTGCCATGCAAAGTTTGGAGTGACCATAAAAACCTCAAAATACTAAAAAGAAAAAAAGAAAAAACCCAGAAAGCTGTCTCCAAAACAAGTCCTCTGGGGGCTTCAGGAGATTTAGATTCAAACTGAAGCATATTCCTGCAGAGAAGAACTTGCTAGCAGATGCCTTCTCAAGAAAGCCGCAGTTTGACAGTTGGAGGAAGTGATTCATGCCATAATTCCCTCCAAACAAATGGCAGCACAAGTCACCACCAGGCGCCAGACCAGACATCTGGCTGATCCCAACCAGGACAAACTGACTGCTGCACTGAAGGCAGCGATGCCAACTTCCCCCTGGCTTGCTAACAACAAAGACGTCTTAACAATGAGAGATGGACTAGCCTGGAAAGGATTCAAAATATATCTTCCTGCCAGCTTAAAGCTAAAAGTGCTGCAGCGGAGCCATGATGCAAAGCTGGGAGGCCACTTTGGATTCTTAAAAAATGCTCCACCTTGCCAGATGCCAATTTTGGTGGCCTAAAATGAAGGCAGAAGTAGAGGACTACGTAAAAAGTTGTGCCACTTGCGCAGCCATGAAAATAAGACCAGGCGAGCCTCCTGGGCTACTGCAAAAGGTGGCCTGCCCCAGTTGACCCTGGGAAGAGATTGCAATGGATTTCATCATAGAGCTCCCAGACAGCAGCGGGAAAACAGTAATTTGGACAGTCATCAACTTATTTTCCAAGCAAGCCCACTTTATCGCTTGCTCAAGGTTACTGTCAGCAAAGAAGCTAGTGAAGATGTTTGGTAAGCATATCTACCACCTACACGGTATACCCTGAAGAATCATCTCAGACCGGGGAGTCCAGTCCACCACCAAGTTCTTGAGGGAGTTTCTGAGGTCAATTGGGTCTACACAAGGACTCAGCTCAGCCTTCCATCCAAGTACAAACAGAGCAGCAGAACGAGAGAATGCAATGGCCGAACAATGCATCCGTCGTTATGTAGATTATGAACAGGACAATTGGTCAGACCTGCTGCCATTTGCCGAAATATAATATAATATTATATAATAAGCAGCACTGAATTAACTCCTTTTCAAATTTCCAGTGGCATGGAATTTGTTCCCATGCCTGAGTTGCCCAGAGAGCCCCCCTCCTCCGAAGACATTGGTCTTTGACTGAATAGATGGACGCTGCCAAAAAGGGGTGGGAGAATACAAAAAAAGTTTTGGCAGATGTGGCAGAAGAATACAAGAAACAAGCTGACAAGAACCATTTGCTCCAACCTACCTTCTGTGTGGGATATAGAATATATTGAGGATGCCTAGCAAGAAATTAGGGCCAAAGTTTTTAGGTCCCTTCCCTTCCCAATAGTCAAAATAATTAACCCAGTAACGATTCAGCTCAGTCTGCCTAGAATCCTAGGGAAAATACCTGCAGTTTTTCATTGTAGCCTGCTGAAACTTGTGATTTTGTCTAATTTAAGACTTCAGACCCAACCAACTGCTCCTCCTGTGGTAATACAGGGAGAAACTCACTACGGAGTGGAAAAAAAAAATACTAGACTCTAGATTGTATAGAGGTCATTTGCAATATTTAGTGCATGGGAAGTGGTACCCTTTGTCTGAAGCTACATGGGTGAAAAGTTGGAATGTGAAAGCTGACAAGTTAGTGAAGTAGTTCCATGACAAATTTCCCGATGAGCCAAAGAATCCCCCTGGAGAAGGGAGGTGGGTTAGTTAGTAAATGTTAACCCCCTGCCTTGTTCTCTTTACAGGACACACTTATGTTCTGAGGGGAGGCTGCCTGTCATGCCTGCAAGCCATCTTTTCTTTTTGGCCTTCAGACCTGCCAGACTTTCTACTGTGGGGAAATGGGAGGGGGGATTATATGGAGTTGGGTGATATGTAGCCATAATAACATCCTTCTTGGAAAGTTGTTTCTGCATTACTGAACTCTCAGTTGAATTACTAAAACACACCAATGATATTATTTGCAATATGTCACTGATATAAAATTCTATAGCTGGCATTGAATTTCCTGTGGAGGAGTGAGTATCTCAAGAAATAGAAGATTTGGAAAGTAACATTTTAAAAAATAAGATAAGTTAAATTGAATTAACTTGCTCAAGACAGGAAATCCCAATGCTTCAGAATGNAACAACAAGCCCATAATGTCATTATGGGATTCTGAGTGTAGATTAATGAGGAAAAAATGAATTTCAACAACTGTAGAATCAGGTTGCAACATAACAAAATTACAAAAGTGAAGGGGGTCTGAATATCTTCTGAATGCACTGTGTATTAAAATATAAAATATGTTACTTGTATAAATTTCCTTTATATTTTTTTCAGATTTGGTATCTGGGAAGTATGGAAACACTGAGAAAGGATTAAAATTAGCATGATATGTGAAGTTAAAACATTTAAGGAGGTTACATAAAGACAGGATAACCTTTATTTTCAATAGCCACATGAAAACCAGAATTTTGGGTATGGAGATGTTGCAGATTTCTAAAAGCATTTTTTTCTCAAAGTAGAACTTTGAGCAAAGTTGAAATTATGAGCAAGTACTAATCTTATATCGATCTCTATTAATTGGCTCTGATATTCAGCATATTTTCTTGTCTCACTACAATGCTTCCAACTTCTGTCATTTAAAGGAGTGCAACATTCCCTAGTCTTATTTCTTTGATCTAAAATTTATTGACACTGTACCTTTGATTGAAAAGTGGCTTCAATCTGTTCATCAATGCTAATTCTTTTGAGGATTCTTGTTCCCGTTCCCCAAGAAGGTCACACGTCTTTTCTTCTGCCATCACAGCGATTATAATGGCTAGGATCACAGCATGGCAGAAAGCAGGAACCAGGAACATTCTATAAACAGCAGTTTATACAGTTTATAAGTAAGGAAAATAAGTTTAAAAAAAACTACTAATATATCTGTTAATGCTTCTGACACATAAATTCTGAATTAAGCAAACTATTTCAGGCTTCACAACTCCAAATTGAAAAAAGAATAGAAAAAGAATATGGAGCATTACTGGTCTCACAAAAATAATCTGAAATGAGATACTTCTGAAACAAAAGGGAAATTATGTTTATGGAATGGAAATTTCAATTGCTGTATGATATCAATATCCTTGCCACACTTTCCTTAGTGTCCATTATATACTTTCCTTAGTGTCCTTTAATGGAGAGAGGAAAGCCAGTTTAATTAGATGGTTTCTCTTTCTCACAAAATCCATACTATCCTCTGCAGGATACCAGTGAAGAAAATACCAATACCAATTTCAGAAGGTTACTCAGATGGACACCTTGCAAGGTCTCTGTGGTAGAACATCTAAAAAATTATTTTTTGAAGCAGTTGTGGGAGAGGCTTGAGGTGTCAAAATCTAAAAAACCTGGCGAAAGCTGTAGTGCAGAGAATTTCAAGGCAGAAATTGTTCAAACCACTATACTTGTTAGTTGCTGTAATCAGTGTTATATTTTATCGACTGAAATTGAGACTTATTATTATATATTAGTGAGGTGCAATTTCTGCAGATCTCCTGTATGATAAAGTAGAGAGCAGTTAGTTAGACTTATATACCGCTTCATAGGGCTTTCAGCCCTCTAAGCGGTTTACAGAGTCAGCATATCGCCCCCACAGTCTGGGTCCTCATGAATGATGGAATGTTTGGCATTAGAAAATTGACCACAATCTGGGAGCCTAACATACTCACAATCTTATTCTTATGCTAGGCGTTTTATAAAGCTTTTTACTGGCATTTCTGTTTTTTTGCTCTACCCTTCCATTTTATTGATGGAATCCGTAATTACTAGCTTTGGAAGGCCAGTAAATGAACAATTATTCTGGACAAGGAAATAAACTGGTACTACTGGAAGACATATAAAGAAATTAATTTGATAGACCCCTGGATTGTACAAAGCCTTTTAAACTTGTATTTTACAAGTTTGCAACTCTGCAGAGTTCAGAAACTGGAAAAGCCTATGCAATAGATATTCCAATACAAATACACTGTGGGCGCAATTTTTAGGCAAATGTGTATTTTGATTATATCATTATTTTCATGTATATTTTCCACCTCCAAGCTGTATAAAGCTGAGTGCTTAGTGGATATAAACATATCAGGTGAGATGCATTTGTGTAATGAGGGAGGGTGTGGTCTAAGAAGATCAATACCCTATATCAAGGTGTCCCTACCTATTAGGCAGCTTCTTTTCCTCAGGCAAAATGGGCCAAAAAAGAGATTTAACTGATTCTGAAGTCAAAAATGAAATCTTTCAGAGGGATGCAGCACTCTTGAATAAGATATTGGGACCATCAAATGTTTTGTTGCAAATAGTCAACAGGATTGCAAGAAATGTGTTGAGAAAAAAAGCTGCATATTAACTGCCGAAGATTTGAGAAGAATCAAATGTGAATCAGCTCTATTCTGATTCTGAAGTTCTTCTTTTTGACAGAACTGAGGATTGGTTGGCCACATTCACCTTTCAATATAATAATCATACAGAACAGCTCTGGAGACTTCAGACATCAATTTCTTTTGTGTAAGCAGTTTGATATCTATGGATACCAGGACACCTATTGAAACTATTCTCTGCACTCGGCAACTCCTCTTTTCCTAAAGTAATATTTTTTTTAAAAAAGCTGAATTTCAAATAAAAAGCCAGTTTCTATCTCTATTCATACAAATTCTTATAGTTACATAGGTATTCTTAGAAAAAAATGCTGCTCACTGCCCTTTGTAAGCGATTGCACTTGAGGGGGAAAAAAGAGGCAAAGTTGGGAGGGGGTTAGTGGTAGAAAAATGACATAAGTTTTCTTATGGGAAATATTTTCAATTCAATGCACTCATCACAGTAAAAAAAAACAAAAAACACCACTGATAGCTCTCAAAATTTCACAACTACTGTCTTCACGCACAACAGCCAAAAATTTATATTGGGATTTTAAAATATGAATTGTCTGTCCATTAACAATGCAAAAATGGATTGGCAAGGCTGATAACCTCCGATTTGGCCACGAGGTTGTGAATAGTAGTAGTTATAACTCTACGCAAAACGCATCACAAAGGTCTAATGGCATTTTTAAAAACCCTGCTGAAATCTGTGTACATCCTGTTTAAAGGGAATAAATATATGCAACAACCGAGGCAATCAACACAGACTACAATTGTTGGCCGAGCAGGGACAAAAAGAGACAAGTTGTTGAAGCCTGGGAAATGAATCCTTAAGTCGGTTAATAAAGGTGCTGATTTACCACCAGCCTTCCAGGTACTCTGAAGCTGAGGGAACAGCGGCACAAGGAAACAATTAACAGCCGTCCATTAACACCCTAATTAACCGAAGGTTCCTTGTTCTTAGTTTTTACTATGAAGAGAAATATGACCAAGCGTGAAGGAAACTCTCCGAGGCTAAGCAGGCTGCACTCTCCAAATACTCGGGGGTGGCACATTGCGCCTTTTCTTTCAGAGTGAGAGAGAGACGCGCGCTTTGTCCTCCTAGGCGAGACGCGTCTTCTCAGGAGAACTTTCCCCTCCCTGATTCACTTTAAGGCCAAAGTGGACGCAACCGGGTGGAAGAAAGAGCGCAGCAACACGGCAGCAGCTCTTTCCTCCTCGAGGGCTCACAATGCAGGCTGGGATCTTCCCCGTGAGACGCAAATGTCTCTGGCTACGTCCTCCTCCTCCTCCTCCTCCTCCGGCTCCACAACCAAAACTACACCAGGCCGCCCAAATGGCCCACCGCTTTAGGCAGCGCGTGCATCCTCCGCGGGAGCACCGGGCACTTTGCGTGACTCCTTTTCCACCGTGGAGCCCGCGGGAGAAACAGCTGCTCTTCTAAGCGCCCGCAGAGGCAGCAGAAAAGGAGGAACGGAAAAGCCCGGCGGAGGAAGGAGCCCTTCACCTGGGGCTGCCTAACTAACACGCGTCGAGACCCCCGCCTCACGCCGACACCCTCCTCCTGCTTCTTCTTCTTCTCCGGGCAAAAGCCCCGAATCCTTCACGGAGCCCTTTCGCTCTCCGAAACAGTAACACCCCCCTCCCTCCTCCCCCCCCACCGCCGCCGCCGCCGTTCGCCACCGGTACCTGGAGAGGAAACCGAAACCCAGCGAGGAGCAACCTGCGCTCATCCTCCGAGGCTTTCCGGATACCGGAACCAATGTAAGGGGGGGGGGGAGTAACCATCGTCCCAGCGAGAGGATTGGCTCCGACCAGCAGTTTCCTCTAATCAGAGACAATATACGCCCGGATGGTCCGCCCACGGGTCTTTCTCGGCCAATAGAAAGTGAGGATGGCCCGCTCTGTAGACGGTGCTCTGCCGCCAGTCCCCTGGTCACGTGCTCTAATGGGAAAGAGGTTCTCCGTCACGGGGCCCTCACGCGCCTCTTCCCTCGCGGCCGTCCTCCGGGGGGGGGAGGGGCGGGGGGGGAGGAGGAGGAGGAGGAGGAGGAGGA